AGGTGGCATCTTGAGGTCCTGTAGGCAGAAGGGTCCTGGGAGCCAGGCCCTTGCTGGTCCTGGCTTTGTCCCCGGACTGGAGACCCACAGCCCACTCCTGACTCAGCGGGGCCTGGACTTGTCCCTGAGCGTCCATGTGACCCTCTACTCGGCACCCCATCCCCCCTTCTCCAGGGTCTCATGGAGACTCCGTGCCCCTCAGGAGGGTCCTGGCTGACTCTCGGGCCAGGGCTCCCCGGGGTTCTCAACCCACATCCTCCCTCCTCGGGATTCGTGGCCATGCAGTGCCTCGGTGGCCTCTCCTTGGTGTCCCACTGGACCATGGACTGTGAAGGCAGGGACACTGTCTTCCTGGAGACCATTTGTCCCCAGAGCCTGAAGCTGCTGTCCCAGAGGTCTCTGTGGAGTGACAGGACCTGACGGTAGAGGAACCCCTGGTTGGTGACAAAGATAAGCCAAGAAACAGCTTCGGGAAGCCTCAGCCCAAACCAGGGACAGGCCCGGGGCAGCCGCCGTGTCCCTCTAGCCCCTCCCCGGGCAGAGCTGTGGAGACAGGTTCCACCCCACTGGTCACAGACCCCCAGGCCTCCGCCACCCAGAATTAACAGTGTCCAGTGCGATCCCTGCAGCAGTACCGGCATCGAGACTCCAGGTGCCTTCCCGTCAGTGGTGACGGTCATGCTGCAGGGATGGCCTTTACCCCGCGATGCAGGTGAGGAGACCGAGGGCCAGGGAAGCCTCTGGACAAGGCCGCTGGGCTCCTGAGTGCTGAAGCTGAGGTTCTAGCTGCTGCCTCAGGCTCCGGGCTCTGGCTACGCCAGCTGCTCCCCCTGCAGGCTGTGACAGATAGAGATGCTTCTCTTCCCCCAGACAAGAGAGGTGACCCGGAAATGACAACGTAGGGTGGTCACCGTGAGGGCCAAGGACAGGGTTCCGTGGGACCCTCAGGAGGGTCCTGCAGACTAGCACGTGTCTGGGGAGATTGTGGAGGAGGGGAGCCAGGCTCCACGTCTTGCCCCTCTGTCAGATTTTTATAACACAGGGCAGTTCAGTGTCACAGGCAAACAGAGCAACACACCCCCTGCCCCCTCCTCCTGTTGGTGTTCGTGCAAACACAGGGATCTGGGCTGGGGTGCGGCTCAGTGGTAGAGCACTTGCTGAGCATGCGTGAGGCCCTGGGTTTGATCCTCTGCACTGCAATCAGATGCGTGCGTGTGCGTCGTGCACACGTATATGTGTGCATTATGGTGTGCTGGTAAATGTCTGACAACCTGCTGGTGATAGTGGGGACATGGGTGTCGATCTTCGTGGTGTGCATGCTCCCTGTGTGGTGAATTTCCAGCTATGCAACATGAACTTGCTGAACATGGAGTCAGGAAGGAATGTGCCGCAGAACTAGCAGACCGTATTCCCCAGGTACAGAGACGGTATTCGTGCCCTTCTGAGGAGCATATGTGTCAGTCAGCTTTCTGTGACTGTAACAAACTACCTGAGATCATCAACTTACCTGGTGAGGGAGACAGTCTGTTTCCAAATCAACGGATAGATGATAAACACCATCATCATTTGAGATGCTCACTGGAGTTAGGGCTTTAAAGGAAGGGAGAGGACACTGGCGAGCTCGCGCTGTAGGAAGGAAGGGTTTGTTCTGCCAGAGGAGTATGGAGGTTTTGGAGGTTTGGTCTGTGGTCGCTGGGCTTGTGGTGAGGAAACACTCAGGATGTGGAGCCCGAGGTGGAGCGAGCTGCTGTCCTCATGGTGGCCAGAGGCAAAGAGAGGAAGAGACCAGGGTCCCACAGTCCCCCTCTGGGTGCACCCCAGGGGACTGAAGACGTCCCACAAGGTGCCGCCTCTTAAGAGTTCCACCGTAGCACCCCAGAAAGAAGCACTAGTGATAGGGAACATAGTGAAACGTGCAGCACAGCAGGCGAGCGGTGAGACTTGAATATCACCTTTAAAGACTGTGTGATTTATTGAAGTGTAACTTCATATCATCAGTGTTTAATAACGGCCGCGCGTCACAAGTGGCTCACACAATTCCCAAAGTCCACCCTTACTGGTCCGCGCCACTGACGCCACAGGCCACTCTTCTTTTCTTTCTTTCTTTTTTCCTTTTTGTTTTTTTGGCACCAGGGATTGAACTCGGGGGCCCTGGACCACTGAGCCCCATCCCCAGTCCTATTTTGTACTTCGTTTAGAGATGGGTCCCACTGAGTTGCTTAGCGCCTTGTAAATTGCGGAGGCTGGCTTTGAACTCCTGATCCTCCTGCCTCAGCCTCCTGGGCCGCTGGGTTGACAGGTGTGTGCCACTGCGCCAGGCTCTTTTCTTTCTTACTAAAATGTTAATAGTGTATGATTTTTTCCTGGACTTGCTTTTTATTTAAAAGGCTCTTCATTCATTCATTCCCCACCATGCCAGCTGGGTCACCATGTGAGTGGGAGAACCATGAGCTTTGTCTCTTTGGCTTGGGTCTGGTGAAGGAGACGGTCCTTTACCAAATCAACAGATAGATAAACTTTACCATCCGTGAAAATGCTGTCCTTGGGGCTTTAAAAAAAAGTCTCGAGATGCCATGCAACTAGAGCTGGGGTGGGGGGTGGTGTGCAGGGAAAACCTACATCAGGGTCAGATCAGGAAAGGCTTATTCCGTGGAGGTGACACAATCTGAGACCCAAGAGATAAAAAGGGACTTGGCATCTTTTTATCCAAGCTTTGGATGGCTTGGTGGGGGAAAGTTTATCCAAGGAGTGTGTCCACTTTGGTGCCATTTCTGTAAAATCCCCAAACATGCAAAACAGTGCTATCCATTATTCTTAGAAAAACCCTTGTGAACCAGAGAGGGGAAGGCTCCCGCCAGCTTCAGGACTGGTGGCCACCCTCGGAGCGGGAGGGAAGAAGGGTGATTTGGAGGGAGGCAGAGAACGTCTTCCGCTGCGTCTTAGGGTTGTCGTGGCTCCCAAGGAGAGGAAGATCTGAGGTGAATACGGTTGGTGTGACTCTGGTTGGCCCTCACCGCTGGACACCGGCTGCGTGATTCTTGACCATTTCTGAATGGCGGAAACGTTTCGGTGGATGTTTTTTAAGAGTATGGAAAAGAGGTCCTAGGTGTGGGAGTGACCCCGGTTAAAGTTCACCCCAGAAAAGTTGGCCGCAGGGAAGGGCAGTGGGATCCCCAGGTCAGTCAGGTGCTGGGCAGGGATCCGGGCCTCGAAGGCTGTGACCACATGTGAATAAAACCAGCAGCTGGTTTACGATGGCCACGAGTTTCCCTGGCTCTGGGGAGAATCCGCAGGGGGCTGGGAGCGGCTTCGGGCTTGGTTGGGGCCTGCGGTGAGCCCCGTTTCACGAGGCCCTGGGGACAGCCTGGCTGTGGCTCCTGTGCCACACCCTCAGGTTGTCAGCTCAGTCAGGCTGTGGGGAGAGGAAGAGGAAGGAGCAGGTCCTTATGAAACCCAAACAGGCAGGATGGAAGAGAAAGATGGATTTGAACAAGAACCACGACAAAACCTGCGAATGGGAAATATCCATGGACGGAAAGGCACCCATTAAAAAGAGAAGCCCAGGGAGGAAGGGAGGCCTAGGAGACCGGAGGAACCTGGGACTGGACATGGCCAGAGAGAGAATCAGTGGATGGGAAGAGAGTTCTCAGGGATGTTCCCTGAAAGAAAAAGAGGAAAAAAAATATGCAAAGGAAGTTAAAAGGCACGGAGCACAGAACGAGCTGCTCCCATGTGTGTTTAGTAGAAATTCTACCAGAAGGGCCTGGAAAAATGACTGAGAAGTTGAGTTCTCAAAAGTTTAACGGCTGAGAATTTTCCGAAATCAAAAGAGATATCAAGTCTTTGTTTGAAAGTGCTCCTCAAGTTGAAGATTTTATAAAATAACCCACAGAGCAAAATGGCGTAAAGTCACAGATAAAGGGAGAGTCTTTACATTTTCCACGGACAGATCATCCACAGAGGACCACCTCAGGAACAGAAGGCTGCAGGTGACCACAGGGCAGTCTTCTGTTCATCTTCCTGGATGAGAAGATAAAGCCCAATCAGCTAGAACTCCACACCCGACTCATGCTCAGGAGCGATGGTGCAGTTTCTGAAGAGAAGGGGTCCCGCTCCGACCCCCAGGCTCCTGGGTCTTGGAGGTTGGGGAGCCGGAGCTCCTCCGATTACAGACGCTCCGTTGTGCGATGGCGGCTTCCATCTCCCACAGAAGCTGGGGAGAGAGACGGCCAGACCCAGCTTCTGTGTTGCAACACGAGGCTCCAGGGAGTGGCATCATGGTATCCATCAAGACAGAGGACAGGGACGGCTCCTCTGTCTCTTCCCAGAATCCACAGCACCTTGAAAGTGTGTGTGTGTGTGTGTGTGAACACGTATGTGTACTTCTGAGTGTGCATGTATGTGTGTGTACATGTGAGTGCACGAGTGTGTACTTGTGAGTATGCATGTATGTGTGAGTGTGTGTTTATGTGTGTGTGTACTTGTGAGTGTGCATGTTTGTGTGTGTACATGTGTGTGTACTTGTGAGTGCATGAGTGTGTACTTCTTTGTGTGCATGTATGTGTGTGTGTGTTTATGTGTGAGTGCATGAGTGTGTACTTGTGAGTATGCATGTATGTGTGTGTGTGTGTACTTGTGAGTGTGCATGTATATGTGTGTACATGTGTGTGTACTTGTGAGTGCATGAGTGTGTACTTCTTTGTGTGCATGTATGTGTGTGTGAGTGTTTATGTGTGTGTGAACGTGTGTGTACTTGTGAGTATGCATGTGTATGTGTGTGTGTGTGAGTGCGCACATGTGTGTGTACTTGTGAATGTGCATGTGTGTGTGTGTGTGTGTCCTCCATCCTCTGGGGGGATGGGATGGGCAGAGGGTAGGTAGGTGGCAGGAATCCTGGACTCTAGCTTGGTTTCAGTCCTGTGGCTTTGGGGACATTGTGGGGGATGGCAGACAGAGGGAGGTGACCCTGGGCCCTTCTAGACTGTCCCTCTGTCTTGCAGATTGTGGACAAGAACAGCCGCTACAAGTCCATAGATGGGTCGGACGAGACCAAGGCCAACTGGATGAGGTGAGTCCTCTCGCTGTGTTGGGGAGGCCGGCTGGCCTCCAGAGCGGAGGTGGGGGTGGCGTGTGGGGACCAGGGGGTCTCCAGAGGCCGAGGCCTCCAGGACTGTGTGTGCAGAGCATGGGAGACGTCCAGCCTCCATGACCTTCCTGGTCCCCGGCTTCCATGAGGGGCCTGAGGAGGACGTGGCCAGGCCAGCAGGCTGCAGGGACTCCCAGGGCCCCAGGTTCCTGAGAGCATTCCTGGGGAGGGGGTGAGGATGTCCCCCTTGGGACCGTGACGCTGTCTCCCAGGGCAGGCTGCTGCTACAGGAGTGCCCAGCGGTTGTTCCCATGGTGCTCCTGGCCGAGGAGGGCCCTGGCAGGGGCTGGGCCCGATGTCCACCATGCTTGCTGCTGGGCTTGAGTGGTTTCACCCTGGGCCAGTGTGTGACTCAGAAAGGTCCTAAGGGCTGGCCAGAGAGAGCAGGAGACTGCCCAGGCCATCCCAGCCAAGTCTGGGACCTGGGCTCAGTGCTGGCTTTGGTGGCCTTGCTGTGGGGGTGGGCAGGGGAGCAGGCTGGCCTCTCGCTTCCGTGGGGGCTTCTCTCTGGGATCCCAGGACAGTGCACAGGGATGTGGGTCTGGGTGGGGCGAACCAGGGGCCCTCTGTGGCTGGAGCCGGGACCCACTACACCTGGATGTGACGCCCGCTCTTGTGTCTGTGTGGCCTGGTGACCCAGGGGTGCTGGAGGCTGGTGGGTGGAGGAGGACGGTGCATTAGGGACCAACGTGGGGGGGTGCTGTATTTAAACTGTGGCAGTCAACAAGCAGATGACTGCTGGGGCTGGGGAGTCACCTGGGGGCCTGGTGTCCTCCAGACGGCCTGACTGACCCTGTCCTCCTGTCAGACTCCCAGGCAGCAGAGCCACCGTCCTCCCCCGAGCACCCAGGGCTCACCCTCTCCTGGGGGAAGCCGCTCCTACTGCCATCACCAGGTGCAGAAGCAGGGTCGCCGGAGACAAGCAGCCTGGAGGGCTGTGTGTGGGGACAAGCTCTCTCGTCCCCCTCCTCCCCAGACCTGGTCAGCCAGTGCCCCGAAATGGCCCGAGAAGGAGGTCTGCAGCCCTACCTGCCGCCCTCCCCTACCCTGGGTCCAGTCAGGACACCCACGGGCTTCACCCGCCGCATGCGGAACACCCGCTTCCCCCGGACCCTGCGCTGGGCACCTGGGGTGGCCCAGCCTGGCCTGTCCCCATGGCCCTCCCAGGGCCCACACCTGGTGCCACGCCTGGTCATCGCGTGGACTCTCACTGTGCTGCTAGGGCCCAGGTGGGAGAAGGGGGCCTCTGACAGGGGCCTCCAAAGTGGCCAGGGCTCTGGGGACTCTGTGAGCAAGTGGGCATGAGCCATTCAAACAGGCTGTCCATGGACAGCAGGGCCTGCCCCCAAGGGCTCTTCGCCCGGTCACTGCAGTGGCCCCAGGCAATAGGGAAGCGAGGGCGTGGGCTCCGGCCCAGGTGTCCCAGGCAGGAGGCTGCCTCCACTGTCCGGGTTCCAGGAGCTCTGGCCTCCGGAGCCGAGCCCTGCTGCCTCCCCTGCACCCCCAGCTGGGCCTGGGGATTCCTGGCGCTCGGAGCTTGTCGGCCACGCTGGCCGGGCCTCGGTGAGGCTCTCCCAGTGACCCTGAGGGCGCGGGTTGGGAGCACGGCTCTGCATCGGTCTTCATGCACAATGGCCAAACCGGGGCCCAGAACTGGTCACTAGCACAGGGACTGGAGCTGTGGCTCTGGACACAGGGAGCCAGGCTGAGCCAGTTCCCTGGGCCGTGTGGGCCCTGGCCGGGTGGGCTCTGCCATGGGTTGTGCCCTGTCCTGACCAAGATGGTGCCTGGTGGTCCCCCTGGAGAGCCCTCAGCTCAAGGGCAAGTTGGGGTTGGTTGTGCGTCGGCCTCGTCGGGCAGCTCCTCCGTCGGCGGGTGCTCCGGACTGCACTCTCGTGGCCTGGGGCGCGGGGCTGAGGGAACGCAGGGCGTCTACGAAGTAAGTGGTGGGACAGGAAGGGACCCCGTGTCCAGGTTGGGAGCACTGACCCCACGGCCCCGTGCCAGGGGCTGTGTGCAGGGTCCTCAGCAAGGGCTGCGTGCCCCTCTGGGAGTGCTGGGCAGTGCCTGAGTCATTCTGGCAGGCGCAGCGTCCTGGGTGGGTGCCACTGGTTGCATCCAGTAGAAGCCGAAGGTGGCAAAGGTGGCGGTAACACTCAGCCCCTCCCCCAACAAAGAATATCCAGAGCCCCAGATGCCTGTAGTGGTGTGCCCAAGAAGCCACGTCACAGCTTCCCGACAGCCCTGGGAAGTGGCCCTGGGATGGTCCTCCTAGTTGTACAGAGGCCTGTGGCCAACAAGGAGACTCCGCCTCTAGTCTCAGGTCTGCGCAGTGCGAGCCTGTGCCCTGCCATTGTCCTGACCTGGGGACCACAGCTGCCTCTCTGCAGCTTGCAGGGCCTGGTGTGCTGCAGGGTGGGGGGTGTGGCTGCTGCCCCCGGCCTCTCAGCTGCAGGCGGAGGAGTGACTCGGGCCCCAGGTTTCCCTCTGTGCCCTGGATCCCCTCTCGGGTGGACCTTTCCAACCTTGTAGCAGCAGGTAAAGCGGGGGGCAGAGCCACACGTGGAGAAGCTGTTTCAAGAGCAGAGCAGGTGCTGGGCCAACGGCAGAGCAACGCGGAGCGCCTCCTGGTGCCCCTGGCTGCCCTGTGGAGACGGGAGCTGAGGTCACCCCTGGTGTCCATCAGAGTGCAGTTCATCTCCCAGGGGATGCTCATGAGCTCCTCAAATCCAACCAGAAAGCCACAGCAGCCCCCCCAGGAGACACAGCTGGCGGTGCAGCTGCGGGAGGTGGCTCTGTTCCTGCACACACAGAAGTGGGGACGAGAGGGGGCAGATGGCGGAGGGGTGGCGAGCCACACAGGATGGAATCAGCTTTCTGTGATGACGCCCTTTGATGGGCAGCACCAGCTGAGGCCTGGCCACGGCAGCCCATGTGGACAGTGGCCTCCAAGCCACTCACGCCCCTGCAGGGCCCCGTTTAAACTTGACTTTGCAGGATCAGTGCTGTAGCCCCGACCCCACTGAGGACTCTTTATTCCTTTTATAGGATTTTATGCTTTTATATCACTATACCCTCCCCCCTGAGAGCCAGCCTGAGGAGTTGGTGTGTTGGTACTGCCCTTCTGGATGGGGACAGGGAGGCGGGAAAGGGTACAAGAGCTTGCACCGCCCGGCACTCACTGCTAGCCAAAGGCAAGGCCGGGCCTGCTCCGCGGACCTGCCCAGGGCTCCCACCGCCTGACCTGCGCCTCTGCCTCCTGCCTGCCCCCTCCGAGGAGGAGTAGAAGGGACTTCTCAGTAGGAGGAGGGCGTGGGGCCGGGTGGTCCCAGGTGCCTCCTGGCTCCCCAGCTGGGGCCGGCATTAGGAAGGAGGAGGCCCACCTGCCTTGACGGTCATTTACCCAATTGTGCTTTGTGGGATATTCAACCCAAGGACCGTGGCGCCCCTGGCCGAGCGTAAGAGGAAGCCCAAGTTCTCCAAGGAGGAGCTGGACATTCTGGTCACGGAGGTGACCCACCACGAAGCAGTTCTCTTTGGGAGGGAGACCATGCGGCTGTCCCATGCCGACAGGGACAAGATTTGGGAAGGCATAGCTCGGAAAATCACCTCCGTCAGCCAGGTCCCCCGCTCCGTCAAGGACCTTAAGCACAGATGGGATGACATGAAGCGGAGGACCAAGGACAAGCTGGCCTTCATGCAGCAGTCCCTGTCGGGCCCTGGGGCTGGGGGCCGGGCCCCTGCCTTCATGCTCACTGCCCACGAGAGGGCCATCGAGTCCGCGCTGCGCACCGCCCGCTCCGGGCACGGCTTCCCCAGGGCGGAACTGGACGGCACCGACAGCCCCTCGACCAGCTGTGAGTATCTGTCCCCTCTGCCTTCCTGCGCCGGCCAGCGGGGCTGCTCGTGAACTCCCGTCCCTCTGTCTGCCCACTCTTCCCATGTCCACCTCCGCCCGCCTCCTCTCCCTCTGGGCATCTGCCTCTGTGCCTGGTCGGTGCTGGCAGCCGGGAGGACGAGCCCTGTCCCCGGGCAGCTCCTGGACATGGGGGACTCAGCAGCTTGAGTTAAACCAGTGCAGGAGTGACCGGAAGGAAGGGACGAAGGCTGTCGTGTCCAGGAGACCCTGAGCACAGGGAACCTCAAGGCCCACAGGCACAGGGGCTGCCCGGCTCCAGGTCCCTGCGGTTGGGCTCTTGCCCCTCCCCCCAGCCCTGCCGGGGAATGTGGGTCTGTCCCTGCAAATGATGAATTGGCCCTTCTGGGGGTGAGGGGCGGTGGCACTTGGCTCCATGGGGCTGGAAGGCCCCCTTAGGAAGTGACAGTGGGACTGAGCCGCGAGGGGCACGTAAGAGTTAAGAAGCCCGGGCCGGGTGAGGGCGGGCGGAGAGCCGGGAGAACAGCGTGTACGAGGCCGCGTCACGTCCGTCCCGGACACGGAGGAGCCAGGGGGCCCCAGCGGAGCCAGGGGGGCCCAGCATCGCAGGCGAGGGGCGGGTGGGGGCTTGGGCGGCCGCAGGCAGGCCCAGGCCTGGAGGGGCAGCTCCTGTCGCCTGGGCCAGTTGCACTGTTTCCGTCCCCTCCTGTCTCCTGTGCCCGGCGGCCTTCGTCCACTTCTCTCTGGCTCTGCGTCCTGCTGCCCAGGGTCCCCTCCCGCCCTGGCTCCTGCACCCACCCCAGGCACACTCCTCTGCACCTGCCCCCCCCTCCTCCCTCTGCCCCCTGCCTTTCCCCTCTGCTTCCTGCGCCTGCTGGACCCCAAGGCCAGGACCCTGGGGCTCTTTCTAGTTGGGGCCCCTCCGTGCACACCCGTCCCCGCCTCTGCACCGTCCGCCCCGCCCCCACTCAGTCCCTCAGAGGCCCCCTGGGGCTCTTTCTAGTTGGGGCCCCTCCCTGCACACCCGTCCCCGCCTCTGCACCGT